TTGGAAAAAATCTAATTTCAAATAGCACATCATTAAGATATTTTGGAACGGCATCTCCTTTCGACCGAATAGCAAACCCCCGCATTTGAAGATTTAAATGGATTAGGGAGCATTATGAGTGTTTAAGAGATCCACCTGGAAGAATTTTTGAGGTGTGGAAATATCAACAAAGAAATAGTATACATCGTTTTACATGTGCCATTCGGAGGAAGAATAACATAATATGAAACATAATTCCTGCGGTTTGCTTTACCTCAAAACATTCTCTTACAAAACACAATACTTGAGCGTTTTGTGCCGGCAAAATAATGGGTTGGTTTACGTAATGTTGTGTTTATTGGCAATAAAACCAGTTGTGAGCCGTTCATCATGACCTACAGAGACAGACGTTGGGTCTAGGAAGCGCTCGGGGGGTGAAAGTAAGAATCCCAGATCAGCTGTATTGCTGTTTACGAGAGACAGTTACAGTTATAGCTGAACAAAGGTCGACTCTGCAAACCGTGGTCTGATTCCCCCTGACGTTTAATGATGAGGACGGAGGTGAATCATCTCGATGGGGTTTGTGTAACTAGCAGTCAAGTATTACTGAACTGTGCAAGTTACTGAGTCCTGCATTTATAGTATGTATGATGGAACCTGTCTCTTGACCCTCTACCTGGAGACTCGCCAAGGTACCCAGGTAAACCAGGTAAACCCTCCCCCCCAGGTAGACCCAGGTAAACGGAGGGCCAGGAGACATGTTCCATTATACAGACCATAGATACATTATGTAACTATATATACATGCAAACTTGCTTGAATCATTTGAAGGATACTCATTTTTTTATGAACTGAATTCTACATATTTATTACTTTGCAGTAGAAAACTCAGTTAGTATTTAAGTTAGATTATTATCGTCCTCTGGTTAGTTGTTTATCTTAAACTGTCAAAATGGTCTGCAATGGATCTACATTACAGAAATAAAAATATACAAGATGAAGTACTTGTAAAGGGTTAAAGGGCTGGCAGCGGTAGGACCATACTCTGAATGTGCAACTAGTTAGGTATGATTTTTTTTGGAGCTCAATATAGTTTGGTCTAACCTTAGCCATTACTCTGGCTCCCCAATAGTATCTTCTCAAAGGATGTTCGACACTCTCGACCAATCAGCCAAACACTGCTTCCACTACTACAGTGTAATATATTTGTTTTTCACTCTACAGCACTTCAACAACAATACTTATGATAATGTGCTGAACAATCACGACAACGTAGATGTATATACAGCGATATCTGGGTGATGTAACTGTACTTGACTTTTCTTTTATTCATTGGATTTTTAATACGTATAACGTATTAAACGTATTCATTGATGCCAATCAATCCACTTAGTTCACAAGATACACCTTTGATTCCTAACAAGACGTTTATTAAACTCAATTTTCAGGGTAAACCCATTTCAGAAAAGACTTATAACCAAACATAGACATTGGTGCAGCCAATTTAGTTTCTAATTCTAAAAGAGCAAGTATTTGGTTCCTATGGTTATCTTACGTTAGGTTAGATTAGGTTAGGTTAGACCATGTTGGGCATTTAAGCTTTCAGACATTTTTTTATGTACTGACCATTATGAGCTATTAAATCTTATGCCCTCCCTGTTTGTTTGCGATGAGGTTAGGCTAGGCTAGGTTAGGTTATGTTAGGTTAGGTTAGGCATTCAAGCTTTCAACTATGTTTATGTACTAACCATTATGAGCTAGTATATCTCATACACTCCCTGTTTACTAGCATTGAGTTCAAACCTCTATTAACCTATTTAAACTCAACTCTCCTGTCTAAGCCTACTGTGATGGCGCTACCGTCCTGCATGATGGCTGATGGCCTTTGTACAGGGTGTGCCGATGGTCCATCTCTGGTCCGACAATCGAGTCGTGACGGCGAAAGTGCTTATCTCGGTTTAATAGCAATTTCTCCACCCGTGATTCGCCGGTCATGACCAGTAACGCGGAACAACTCTGTTGATTTTGTTGATATAGTCACCCACGCCAACAGCCGAGGCCGAGCCAGTCCGCTAGAGAGGGAATTTATGACTCAATCCTGCTTAAAGTTGGACTTCGGTGGAGTTAGTCCTATGGGTGTTGGAGGATAAGAATAAAGAAGAAATCTCCATAGAGGATGGGATGCCAAAAGATAAGCTAGGCTGTTCGCCTACTACTCAAACGGCTGCCAGATTGATGAAAAAAGTTAGAAACAATTTGATGGTTCGAAGCTTAACCTATAAATGATATCCTCGATCATTGGCCATTCAATAAATAGCCCAGCGTGAAAAGTCAGTGACATCGCTGTCTTATCATTCTTTTTACACTAATCCTTCGCCCATCTTTGCCTAAAAATAAGCACCCTGGTTGTCGTATAAATCTATTCTAAATGGTGTGAAAATAGGAGCACAGAAACGACTAACACTCTTCAATTGGTGTAGCAATAAAAAGAAAGTTGAGAAAGATAGAGTGATGTGCTATAAGTGGAGTAAACAATAGGTAAATACGTTTAAAAAAATTAGAATGTGAAAAATTATAACAAGTATATAAAATAAAAAAAAACACATATTTAAAAATACAGATGCAAAAAAAATAGTACACGACGTATGCGGTTGAAAGAAATAACTAACTACTGAAGACCGCAGATGAGAAGAATGAAGTGACTCAATAACTTTACATATGTTGTGGCATTTGTCTCTGTTTCCATTTAGAATTTACAACAAATGCATATTTATTTTATTTATAAAGCTATTTTATTTTAACTTTCACGTGACCCGCTTACTCATCGTTTGTGTATTCAGAACTTCCAAAGAACACAAATTGCCTCAAACTATCGTTACCCTTTACACACAAAGGCACGGTGCGTCATTGAGTAAGATCACAGCAACCTCTATTTGATGGCTATCATACAAACTTGAACATATCCACCAGCTTCATAGGGCTCAACGTTTAGTGTTATTGCTTGTTGTGGAGCTGGGCTACTCCAACTGGTAACACCAATAGAAGAAGTAGAAAAGTTATCTCCAATTAAGAAGAAACACCATTGGTTTCTAATTTTAACTTAACATTTCTGTCCTGGCTATCCTAGGTTAATTAAAGGAATAATTCTCACTGCGTCTTTCAACGTTCCTTCAAAAGTTGTTAAAATAACTTGTCAACCAAGCCATGCTCCCAACAGTGGCATCTTTAAGATATCCTTTACGAAAACAAAATAAAATATTGAAAATTTAACACTAATTTGATCAAAATTCTACAGTAATTATAAAAACAAACACTATCTTAAACTGATGTTTAGTAGTAATCAATCATAGAACTAGGAACCAACAAAGTCTTTCTCTTTCGCAACCAAACAATTTGTCCAGCCTCATTGGCAACAGAAAATGAAACATGATGATCCAACACAACGGTTATTAGTTAGAAGTAATGATCATGCAATCATACTAATGTTCATATCAACCCCTCTATTAGTTAAAAGGTAAACGGTTGTGGCCAAAGGCAGACAACTATCATTTGAATTTCCGTGTAGGAGCGGAGGATGGTTCCAGTAAACAACCGGGTGATCAAAACTTTCACTTATCACTAATGTCGTCATCGTCTCTGATCACTGGTGAATCATCGTCACTAATCAATGGGGTTTCACTGGTCATTCATATTGGCATTGTTCTGGTGCCATCATTGTCAATCACAACTGCTGTTTTCATTGGTAACTGGTGACGTCTTCGTCTCTGATCACTGATTTTGTCGCTGAACACTAGTGACTCCGTCACTAATCAATGGTGTTGTCACTCAATGGACAATGGTCATTTGTATTGGTACTAGTGTTCAGGTGTTATCATGTCATATATCTTCTCGTTTCACTGATTCACTACTATCCTCATCGTCACTGATCACTAGTGATTCATCGTCAATTATTAATCAATGGTATTGTCTTTGGTAATTTATATTGGTACTAGTGTTTCGTTGTACTAGTGTTTACTACAGGCTTGGTAACATGTAGTAAACATGTTAGCTATGTTTACTATAACATAGGATAAAATAGGTAACACCTACACTGTCAACTTTAATTCCTGTTTGGAAGGGTACCTCAAACACTCCTCCCTGTGAGTTATTTCAATACTGAAAAATAAAAATAAAAGTGTTTAATATAATTTTAAGCATACTTTCCCACCCTTAAAAGGATCTACTTATCATCTAAAAGTATATATATATATTTCTTATGGTCTAGCGATACGAATAAAATAATCAGATTTCAAGTAAGGAATTCACAGGTGGGGCATAATAAAATAGGATAATTATCCTTAAAACTATTTATTGCTAGATTTGTACTGTACAATAATACTTGAGATGGATTTGTTGTTCTCACTTATTTCCCGTCGTTACCCAAAACCCCCTCCAAAAGATGAGGAGAGAGCTCCCGAGAATCCTCCGAAGGGTGTGTTGATGCTGAATGCCCCTGCTTGGGAAGCGCTGTAGCCGCCGCCAAAACCTTGTCCTTGGTTGCCATAACCCTGGTTGCCGTATCCTTGGTTGCCATATCCTTGGTTTCCGTAACCCTGGTTGCCATAACCTCGGCGATACCCTAGACGGCCTCGACGTCCAAATCTTCGAGCCTGTCTGGTGATACGACCTAAAACAGAGTATCATTCATGTTTTTTATACAATTTTATTTCCCTATTTAATGCTCAATGTTGAGGCTTTTACGCCAGCCGCCATATTCAGAGGCTTAACTAATTACATTATAAGGTATATTGTCTTTAAAACTAGCTCCTCACCCACTTAACCTTGATAATCAAATGTATTAAGTACTAAACCAATCACTGAGAAATTGTTTTAGTAAACCTGCGCTCTCTAGGAAGCTTAATTTCAACATTTTGCTATATGAACGGATATTGAAAAAGTATTGAAGAATACCTTGGAATGTAGCAAAAAACCTAACTGCCCCCTTTGTCTTGATAGACTGGAAAGATATACATATTAGCGTCATGTTGTTCTACGTCTTACAGGGTGAGTATGAAATCTTAGTACAAGTGTAACTTTTGGATATCCTGTTGTTATGTGCGATTCTTTAGACCAAGGGAGATGAGTTGAAATAAAAGTTTCAAAAATGTAGAAAACCATTCGAGCACAGTTGAGCCAACTATACAACGGCAAATAAACTAGAGAGGCTTGTAATTTTATTTTTTGTAGTTTCGAGTCACTTAAAATATAAATGAGAGGTTAATTCAACTTAGTATCGTCTTGTGCCTCTTATATACTTTCTCTAAGAGAGGATATAAGAGTCACAAGACAACACTAAGGTAAATTAACCTATTATTTATCAACTAGAGATATTGTAAACATTTGTGCGTTTTCTTTCTACTAAGACCCGGTAAGGTTTAGTCGATTAATTAAACGATTTGAAGAAAATTAACATTCTTGACAAATAATTTAGTAAATAGTTAAGTATATTTTCGTAGTGAGCATTAACACTTCAACAATGTTTTAATTGTATGTGAAAAAACTGCAAGTGGTCGATTATTCACTGTGATATGCAGCAACATCCATTAACTTTAAGACTAATTGAGCGGAGCGAGCGAAGCTCTTTGGGATCAACTTCAATGCGAACAATATAACACCATCACTCAATAACGGCTGAACACATTTCAGCCAAACTTAACAAGACTACTTAGACTAATACTGAGATGGTTTGTAAACAAACAAATTTCAATTAGATAATGCTAATGCAATTTAAAACGAACTTAAAATTTCAAATTTTTAACATTAGGCTTATGGGACTAAAGTAGCTATGACAGTTTTTTTGTTTACAAGAAAAATGTAAACAAGAGAATCATAAGGTATTTCTGAACTTTCTATACTTTTCTTTTGAACGTTTTTAAACCATTCCTATGATTTTAATAAACAAGAAAATGCCGTTAAAACATTTTTTTAAGGCGCGGAATTCACTGAAAATTGAGAAAATATACGGAACTACTTTCTCAATGCGCGGAGCATAAACTAGGAGCGGAGGGATACGTACCGGTGACTACTTTCTTGGGAACCTATTTTGTTGCCAGCTGATTAGAAACAGCCAATGTTAGAAATCAGGATTTAATAAGCGATATATCGAACCGCATCGAAATCGGGATTTAATCCGATAATACCTCATAGGTTATATTATGTTGAATTACATCGACGGTACAGTAAGTTATTACACTTATATAAAACGCAGATTGAACACTGATCTAATTTAGGCATGTGGGGAGGTAGGTCGGGGTTTATGAGTTTTCGTGACTACATTAAGTGTTTAGAAGTAAGGTTAGATTAGGAAGGTAAAGTGTATGTTAGGCATATAGGTAGGTGATCGGGTTGTTTATTTGTGTTGCACCATATAATTTTAACTTTTGGAATGGAATAGTTGGTTAAGGTAAAACGGGGAAACGATTTCAAAAATGCTTGCATATGGTCTTAACTTAACAAACCATCTACAGTATTCTAGCTTTGACTTTATATAAAGTCAATGATTCTAGCAAATTATTACATACTGACCAAAAGAAAAGAGAACATTTGGATTTGGACCTTTGACCATAGCAAAACTAACACGTATACAAATATCAAATCACGTTTGTTCCGCTCAACTGGCTTTCACCTCTCTGAAAGCAACCCTAGTTTATTTTTGTATTTAGCTTGTTCATTAATCTGAATTGCATTAGTAAAACATTAATAATTCTCATATTCATTGTTTAGGCTCTAAATAACACATTTTTCCATCTACGATACTACGAAAGCAGTAGTTTGTATAAAGCTCCGTCCACAAAGATGTATCAAAAAATAAAATTCTGTGAGGATGAATCAGGTGCGTTTATGACTCATACAAAGATTCATATAGACCTAATTAATATATAAGGGACCGATTGTATTTATTGACCCATGTTAGTATTTTTAAGTACGTGCATTAAAAGTTCAACCTAACGGATCAAAAGAACTAAAGTTCAGCTATTGTAAATTTAAAACTTAAAAATTTACTTGAAATTATAATACTTTTGGAATTTATTGCAATTTGACATATGCTTCTAGTTTAATTTGACTACGTAACTATTAAAAAAAAAATTATTTTGGAATTGCAATTTTTGAGGTATGCATATAATAGTTGTAGTAATATTGCATACAAAATTAAAGCTTAGCTTATAAGGAATGCAAAATTTTAACAACAGTAGATGTTTGCATTGTCAAGAAAAGTATAGGGTATTTCAAATACTTTCAGAACTTTTACATAGAGAGCTATTTTTTTGACGAAAAATAATTGTCAGATTTTGATTTCGCCAAAATTTTTGTGTTACGGTGAGCTTTAAAATTATGTATGATATTACATATGTTTGTATTTTACTGTGGTAAGATTTTAACTAGTCGGCAATGGCTATAACTGCGGAATACACTTTGGCCATATAGCTAAAGTTTTATTTCTTTGTAACAAAAATGAATGTATAGTATGATGGCATGACGATGCATTTTCTAAGAAGTAAACAAGCTAATAACCAAATATAAGTTAATAATATAAATTCTCTTACCAGAATTAACGGAGATTATCGTAACTAGAATGGCGACAAATACTAGAGTATATCTTGGGGACATGGCGAACGACTGGATCATATATTTTATTGCATTTGTTTATTGTTCATCTTTCCCGTGCGACTGACTGTTGACTGGCTCTGTTAAAACCCGTGGGCATCGGCTGATGACTAACACTATGACGTTAACTTTATTGAAAATTGGAAAAACACATGGAAACTGTTAGGCGATAGGATGGTTAAACCCCACACCATCGAACTGGAATATTTAACTATTATTTAAAAGCTTTTATGAAGGGAATACGATATATGATAATTGATCGTGTAATGGGTCTCATAAATGTTAACACATTTGCTAAGTGTGTAGTTGGTGATGTGTAGATGAAAAAAAAGCAACAGCGGTACAAAAAATAAACATAAAAGAATAGAATATAGAAAGAAAAGAAACAGTGGTAGTTTCTTTGTGTCTTAGTGTTCACAACAATACCACAACACCAATCACAGACTAAGCAAATCCATTAACGATAAGAAGACCCATTGTATGATCAAGCACCATATCGTGTGCCTTTTATGAATCAGGTTTTAAATCATACTTAAATATTACAGTACGATGGCACGTAGTTAACTAGAATATTAGCCTAACGGTTTACTCTTGTTGTTCCTATTTGATATGTTAAAGTCATTAGCCGATGCCCACGGGCTCTTACAGATACAGTAAACATTCAGACATTCAGACGAATGGCGAAGGTAAAAATTAACAAGGTCCAGTCGTCCACCATGTCTCCAAGATGGACTCTACTCCTTGTCGCCCTTCTAATAATGATTATCTCCGTTAATGCTGGTAAGAGATTTTCATATTTTTTAACTTATATTCGGTTATTAGCTTGTTTACGTCTTAGAAAAAGCATCGCCGTCGCAGTAGAAATGCATTGTTGTAATCGGTAAATAAAACTTGGCTATAATTCTACGTTTTGAAAAATAAAATGATGCTATAATTCTGAACCTACGAGTAAATCAAACACTCCTGTAGAGTATATTGATTTTCGAGTTCATAAACCTTCTACAAAGAAGTAAATGTAGTTTTTTTTTATTAGGAATAAGTTGTAACTGACAGTATAACCCTATTTTAGCATCGGCATTTATAAATGTAAATTATATAAATATGTAAATAACCATTACAGTTTTTGTGTTTAGGGATGGTCAGTGCTGATGAACTCAAAAACGTAATACAGTATTAATATTGAGCGTGAGGCACCAGTTAACACCCATACACAGGGTGTTCACTATTGAGTTCAGACAAACCGTTGGTCCCACAATGATGAAATCAAAAATGTTCCCACCAAACCAATCCCAAGAAATGACTTTAAAATATTTTAACTTTTGTAGCCGGGGGCCGTTGGTTGGGGTGTTGATGGGGGTTAATAGAGAATGTATTTATAGAGAATGTACCAATGTACCAAAGCGAGAAGTTTACTAGTTAAAATGTCGAAACAGTAAAATACACACATAAGTCAGACTATACATAATTTTTAATCTCTTTGTAACACAAACATTTTGGTGAAATCAAAATTTGACTATTATTATTTGTCTAATAATGGTGGCTCTTTATGTGAAAGTGCTGTACTATTTTGAATACCCTATTTTGTTTTCTTGACAATGCAGCTATTCTCTACTAAGATTAACAGTTTGCATTCCTTATGAGCTAAGCTTTAATTTGATATGCAATATTGCAATAATATCACAAAAATAAAAAGTTAATTGTTTTTGAAAATATTTATTTAGTAAAATAAAAATAGTAGGATTTGTCAAATTGTATAAAATGGAAAAGGTATTTAAAAAAAAATTATAAATTAAATTTTATAATAGTTGTTTAACTTCTTTAGTTCTTTTGAGCCATGATACCGAACTATCTTACCTAGAAATACTAGAAATAGTCAAGTAATTGTTCAACTCTGTGTATAAGCTGTAACCTCAAATGTACAGATCCTCCGTGAATTTTAGGTATTTAATAAAGCTTTAAAGAGGGAGGAGATTCTTACAACCCAAATCAAATTTGTGTAATCCTGGATTGATTATGATCAAATTTTACTAATAGCATTCATACATATAAATGAACTAGCTAAAAACAACAATAAACTAATCTTAAAGTTGAATGAAGTTACTGTATATGTTTATCTTACAGTAAATAATTGACCACTTGCAGGATTTTCACATAAAATTAAAATTTGAGGTGTTGACGCTCAGTACAAAAACTACACAGCTATATAATAAACCGATTAAATTGACTGTTTGGTATGTGGATTTCTTGAACACTATAACACTCTACACCAAACAGGGGTATACAACTACCAAAAAACCCTGAATGATACTCTGTTTTAGGCCGTATCGTCAGGGAACCCCAAAGATTTGGACGTCCAGGCCGCCCAGGGTATGGCAACCAAGGATTCGGCAACCAAGGATTTGGCAACCAAGGATTTGGCAACCAAGGATTTGGCAACCAAGGTTTTGGAAACCAAGGATTTGGAAACCAAGGGGGCAACCAAGGACAAGGTTTTGGCGGCGGCTTTGGCGCTTCCCAAGCGGGGGCAATCAGCATAAACACTCCCTTTGGAGGATTCTCGGGAGCCGGAGCCAACTCTTTTGGAGCAGGTTTTGGAGCTGGTAACGGGAAATAACCTAAAACTCCCAGGTCATCCCAAGACGTTCATCTTAAACATTACTGTACAGTACAAATCTCATAATAAATAGCTTTAAGAATAGTTTTTTCTTGTTACTGTGATCCTAACGAATTAACTTGATTTACATCCTTGCGCTATAGGAAATATTACTTTTTGAAAGGAAGTAAATCCAATGGGGACTGTAAAAGTATTCATAAAATTATATTTAACACTTAAGCTCAATACTGTAATTAATTTGCTCGCAGGGAGAAATATTTTAAGTAAGCTGAGTGACATGCTTGTCTATTGGATATTGACGTGGAAATTCCATCTAAATAAACCATCCCTTGCAAATCTTTCATTAAAAAGTACATAGATGAGCGATCCAGACACAGCATACCCTAGTGACTAAAATTATATTTTCTGCCTTATCAGTTTGAATTTGTTAAAAAGCTCGTGTATTTGAAAGAAGTGATTAATTTACATCAGCACAATCTGTCGGTGGATCACATCAACTTCGACGATTGTGATTTTTTTTAACTGACCACAAATTAAACATGGAAATGGAATATCCAGTTGTATAAATTCGTTGAGATGTTTTGTGTATCTAATGTTTAAAACAGGTGATTCTAGATACTTCAAGGCCATGCTCTATATTAGAGAATTTATTGGATACTGAAAAAAAACTCCAATTTAAATGGGCAATGACAATGATATTAATCTTCTTTCACATGAAGACGGGGGCTGTTGATTCACCTATAGAAAAGTTGTGTAGTTCTAAGCACAAGAAACGTTGGAAAAACTCGAATAATAGTAACATTTCAGGACCAACGTCATAATGAATTTTAAAACCCTGTATGGACGAGCTGTCTAAAATTTTTAAATTGAAAACAAAATTTTTTTTAATTGAATAAGCTATTCTCCGAGTAAGCTACAGTATTAAATGTTATTTCCTCTCTTAGCACAAACTATGATAGTTTATGTGAAATAAAATATTTTATAGCCTAGCTTATGATGATCTGACTCCATAGACATTACATCCCATGTTCAAATTATGACATGGGTATATATTATGAACATGGGATATAATGTCTATGGAGTCAGTCTATGGATCAGGCAAGCAACTAACAGTTTAAGTTTTTTACTTTTTACCTACTTTTTACCTACTTAGTTTACTTTTTAATGACCTCCCATTCCCTTTGAAAGCCGAACAAGACATCGAAAAATTCAGTAAATGTGTTAATCTTGATAAATAAGGTTTGCTACAACGTCCGGGAATTTGCTGGTAGTCTTTAACTTCATCGCAAGGGGTCGTGTGTCACAACCAAACAATTTGTATATATGTATTTAGTAGTTAATAATTTCATAATAAATGTAATTTCTTGACTTGGCCAATGCTATGTATTGTTAATCTGGCTTGATAAAAGGACTTTGACTTTGACTTTTAAGAGCTTGAACGATTCACACCGTATTACAGGAAAAATGTAAAACCTTAGTTTATTGATTGGACTTGTTTTACTTCTTCTCCTGCTTAATGGCATGACGAGATAAACAGCCAAGATCCTTTAGGGGAGGAAGAACCATTGTGAATAACCTCAAGGTCAGATATTTTAGGTGGTATTTTCCTGAATACAACTCATCAAGATTGTCTTTGGTCTAATGTGACATTCTAGTCTACTACCATGTCTTGGAGGTGGTCTGTCGTCTTCGGGCTGATTTTCCTATTCGCCCTCTCTGCAAACGGTGGTAAGCTATGTACAACTAAGTTTGTGATCAAAATATTTTTTGTTTAAGCAGTCTAAGGAGATAGAAAAAATGAAAACTTCAACCCTCTAACTTAAAAAAAAGCATTAAGAGAGTAAAATATTTTAATTGGGACACATTTTTCATTATATTGAGAAATGTAAAATACTCTGTGGGCACATTAATTACGTTGAATGTGGTTGATTAAAGTGTCGCAGTTTGTTTTGGAAATTGTCAACAGAAAAAATATATTTAGACATGAGTTATTTTAACGTATAATTTTAACTATGCGTAATTATGGTAATTCAATTTATGTAGGTCCTAAAACATGGAGTAGGCATAGTTTATATGTTTAGTATAAATAAGACTAGATTTTCCTCTATAGAACCACTATAGAAAGCCTTGACAATAGTGGAATAATGATAATATTTCCCTGAAAAATGTGTTAGTAGTAACAATGTTTCGGGAACCTATTTGTATGAAACCTAGCCTTATATTTTGATTATTGCATCAAGCCCAAAGCCTTTTTACCTCTATTTGAAATGAATAATAAATATTGTTTATTGACCTAAGGTGTCAGTGAATCTTAGGTCCTTGTGTTGTACATGTATCTTACTTATATCGGTGTATCATAGCAACACTAAATATATTTAATTTATGTCTGCGTAAATTTGTCAAATATTTAAACGTATGATCATTCAAAATAATGGTTCTGAAGCTTAAGAGTACTGTTAAAACATGTATAGTATAAGGCCTTAAGGCTCAACGTAATTAGATCATATTTAATGTTTTACTTTTGTTTCCTTGAATTTCAGAATCATTAATCATTTTTACGAACATTGCTCTCTTTAGTAAAATGTGTATTTTGCAGCGTAAGCTTTTTTAAAAGCTAAAGTAAAAAGAACCGATTTTTTTTATTGGCGAATTAACAGAAAATTGTATAGTAAACATCAAAACAAAATTAACCAATACCGAACAGAAACACGTATATTAAAATTGTCTTTTTGCCTATCTACATTCGGAAAATCTACAAGCGATTATATTTTGCCATATACAAAAATATTATATTATTAGACATATTATTAGCTAGTAACTAAATTAGATTTTTGATAAAAGGCAGAGATCTTAGACCAAACCTATGAAGAACATGAATTTAAATTTACAATTAATAGATATTAATATTGATAAGCAATCCAGAGGCTAAAATGATTGATTATATTTCATGTAAATGCGTCTAATTAATTGACTGTTTCGCGCCTTACAACAATGAATCCGCAACAAAAACTCAGCTGTGAAAAGTGTGTTGATAAGCCAACTTGAAGGCGCCAGCTATGTTATTACAAAAGCGGAACCTTAATAACAAGTCACCCTTGATAACAAGTGTCATTTTCAAATACCCTCGACTTTCCATTGAGCTTATTCCATATTATCGCAAAACTTGATAAGAAGATAGCCTTAATAACAAGTCTTATTTGATAATCCCCTAGAGAGACTTTTTACCGAAGTTCCAATTATTCAGGCTTCAAACACAAAAATCAGATACAATTTGTCGTTGGAATATAGATTAATTATGATTTCTAACACGTTGACGTTAGATATAAACAATACCATGGTTTGGACCGTTACCTTACAAAAGCCGTTAACAAGATGGTATTGGCGTAGATAGACAAATTTACGACTTAGTGTAATAAATTGACTTGACCACATGAATAACCTTTAAAAATAAAACATTATTCTAAGGTTGCAGTAACGCATACATTGTTATTTTGTCCCAGGTCGTCTCGTCAGAAGCCCCCAGTTTCGCCGTCAAGGTTTCGGGGGTCGTCCAGGGTTTGGGGGCGGCGGCGGCCCCTCATTTGGGGGCGGCGGCAGCTTCTCCCAAGCGGCGGCCATCAGCATCAACACACCTTTTGGAGGGTTTTCTGGAGCCGGAGCCGGATCTTTTGGGAGTGGATTTGGCAACAACTTTGGTTAATACGATTTTAAACCAGCGCTGCTCATTTTGCTCAAATAATATTAGTTTTAGATGACCATGTAAAAATTAGAACACTGTTTGTAATAAAAATGTACAAAATAGAGGGGGGTTTTATTTATTGACCTATTCTAGACAATACCTATTAACGTAAAATTCCAAGCTTGAGAACAAATACAAGATTATTTACAAGAAAAGGTTTGGTTGAGTTGTGTAGTTTTTGGCAGGGACGTTTTGTTTGTCTCAAAGAAACTGAGCATGCTATTTAATCTCCATTTGTAGTCACTAATTATATCCATTTGTGTACTCAGTAGTACAGTATGTATAACTAAACCTATGTGAACTATTTTTACCATATGTAATACGTATTTCAGATACCAATGACCGTATACAGACATGAGAAACTGTCCTTAATTGGGGTTTAATTGTTCCTACATTTTTACTATAGAAAAAAGAAAACATACTTTTCATATGGAATCATTATGAAAATCAATCACTTAACAATCTGCAGTTAAATTTTAACTTTCATATTAATGTATAACAATTTATACTACTCTATGAAAATTTAACTGTATTATGATGGTTTTAAAAATAATGTGTTACAATTTAAGTACGGTAATTTAAATATAAATCAATAAGTAATTCGTCGGTAACGTAGGTCAAATGGACATCAATGGTTGGTGCTGTTGCCTATCGGAATAGAGTCGAACTACGTTGGAGGAGAGTTTCAACAGAATTTCATATTTGCAAATTCTGCATGTATGGTGTTGTAATCTAATACAGTAGCCTACTGTATTACAATGAGTACTAAAATATAAATATTTAGAATAGATTACATAGTTACTGGCATAAACATTAAAATGGCATACAGGATTTGCATCAATTACTAAGAAATAATTATAATAAGTTACGATATAGGTTTAACTGAAATACTTTAGAATAGTTCAGTTCAAGAAGCTAATAGAAACATTGTTTATCTATGTTGTGCTTCAGTCTGTTCGTGTGTCCAATCTAAAGAAAATATGAGACAGCTATAGTCTGTCTAAATCATTTATTATTTTGTTGTAATAAGATACGAAGTTGAAAACAAATAATACTTTTAAATTATTTTTTGCTGACAGCTAATGTATTTAAAAATTGTATACCACTTTTCATAAAGATACCTGAAATGGTTTTAAAAATACAAATTAAAAACATAAAAAAACAAAACAGCGGATATTTTAATTGACTACGTTTCGTTACCAAGGCGATTAAAACAATGTTATACCTGCTTTTCATTTTATTTTAACCCATTCAAACTCCGCCTAAATGTTGTGTACTTACTTACGAGACACCTTGTATTTAGTTTTAAACCAATCGCATCCAACAGGGTGAGTTTAGACGAAATCATCTCCTTTTTTGTTACGTAAAATACCCCAATAAAAACTTTCTTCACTTTTCTGTATCTTAAATTATTTAAAAATGCAATTCTCAATAATAAGTTTAATGAGTGCTAACAATAATTTTAGCAATAACTTTTCAGTATAAGAGAAAAGTCAGCAATGTAGTCCACATACTTACGGTCGGCAAAGCAGTACATAATTCAGTAGAAGACAAGTGCTGCTATTGACGGTATAATGAGGAACTGTCTGGACCCTGTGAAAAGAACGAACTGATTTGAAATCTTTTTGTAGTTTAATTTAAAACTATATTTAAAAAAGCTACTTTTTTATCAAGTAGCGAGTAAGTGTGCCTAATTATGCTGTTATCTGCATGGTAAATCAGTTTGTATGACACAAACTCTACGAATAATATGTAAACCGTAATAATAATAGGTTTTTAACACAATAACGAATTTCATAATTTTGATTAATTATATGTAGGCCCTATAATGAGTGTATGAATATCATGTTTAATTTATGATGATTTAAGTTTAGTACTACAATTCCAATAGTTTCCGTTTTAATGATAACTGTATTCCGATTTTGAATAAAGAGGATCTTATTAATTGAACCACCCATGAATTGTAGAACTTTTCAACCATGATAAGGGACGGATCATTGTAAACCATACCATTTTTTTTATTAGATAAGAATAAGCTATTTTAATTATTAAACTAAACATGCTGAAATAATTATCAAAATTAGCTGCTGACTCGTTGTGTACCTTATTAGAAACCTCATCATTATTATCGGGTCCAGTAAAAAAAAAAAAAACTTCAGCTACTACTGATTTTTCTTATAATATAACCTACGACCTGTTGCTTACCAGGCAATAGGCGACTACTTTAATCAGTTAAATAGTATCTTTGACAATTGATAGGGCTAGACATTCCGTCCCCATGTTAAAGTTTTCGCCAGGTTTTACGTCAAAATGTAAGTAGTTGAAGTGAGAAACTGACAGACTACGCTGATGTAAATCACTGATTTATGTTGGATATTCGGACCTAATAACCAAGTTATAATGATTAGACGATATATTTTAAGCTACAGTCTCTTATATGTAACATCATTTATAACAGTAACAAAAAAAGTATGTAGGAAATAGAATTTTAGCACTAGTGCATTCTGTGACTGGCTCACACAACACAAGCGACAAGTGGGCTTTTAGAAGGGATGTCTTCAACTAGCATAACATTAAAAAAATTCAACAGAAACAAACAATAATTCACTAATAGACCATTCTGTTAGCAGCCAGTTAAGTTTTTCTCTTGAAATATCTTTCGCTACAGCTGGTCTATTGAAATAAAAACGTAGAGTAAAAAATTAATGAAAAAAGAATGTACGTTCTCGCAATTTAGAACTGGCTTGAACAACAGATTTTCACGGATTTATGTTAAATATTAGAAAAATAATATATTTTATACGGTGAAGTAAGAAGTTTGTAAGAACCAAGACACGAATCGCTGGAAGCACCAATCAGAACAAGGCAAATATGAAACTCAAAACTGATATTAGCAGATACATAAGTGAACGCTTGTTGCTGAAGAACTCTCCAAACTTTTTCCTAAAGCGATATTTCTAAATTGAAAAGAGAAAGAACGTGGGTTATCTAATACCTGAGTCGTATTTTGATTTTATTGCTTAACTTCCTTTGGTCATTTAGTGAAAAAAATTGAAAAGTATGTTCAAAATCTTATTTAAATCTAGATGTTTTAATTTGTAATAAATGTAGGCTAAAATATATACCTTTATTATTTAAAAGGAAAATAATTTAAAAGTTTGTATTAGTAAGTATATGAACTAAACGATGTGATAAATAATTGACTATAAAATTACGGAATAATATTGTAAAGTAATATTAATATTGTTGCATTTTATTGGTAAAAAGTAGAGTTATATTGTTATAACTTATTGGTAGTTATAATTATTGGTAGTCATATATTGTTTATGATGTTCTGTATAAAATATTCAACTTATCTTTTAGGGTTTGTAGCAGGGATTCAGCGAGTAATTTCATTTCTACAAGTTGGTGAGCTTCCGAGGAAATTCTGTAAAGATACACATGTCTGCACAAACCAGCATTAACTCATACTTTTATTTGTCTTTGAATAAGATAAATAACAACATAGAAAACTCAGCCATATGGAGTTCGTCTTTTATATAAAAGAATAGAACGTAAATGACGTTTTAGCATAGAGTTCAGCTAAAATTAAAGGTTTAAGGAGTGTAAGTAGATAATATTTTGTGTACAGAACATTTTCCCTTCGTTCATTTTGTTTTTGAAACACCAAACATTTAGCGTTTATTTTAAATAAATAAATACCATTTGTTGAAACCCAAAAACTATAAGAATGTTTTCTACATAAAAAAATACTACATCATCGCAAACTAGGCCTAGCCTTACGCAATATATCGAAAACAGCCGCTTATTATGACAATTTAACGTGTAGTATCTGCAACAATTAACGGAACACATTTTAACAGGCAATTAGCAATTTAGTGGCGGTATTAACTGGATAAACATAATCCTTGTCCAACAATCACTGCAATCGACCAATGAGGTGCGTTGTACCAGAAAACCGACCAATCAGAACACGAATCGCGGTTAATTATATATCAGCTGTGTGGCTTCATATGCGGCTTAATTAGGTCATTAAAGTGACCACGCCATGAGACCCGTTTCATACTCTTTGGGCTATTAGACAGGCGGAGATTTCTTGTACAAACAAAACGAAGAATTAAATTCATCTCTGAACGCCATTCTTCCACCGACAAGGTAGGTTTAGGAGCATTTTTGGGATAACTGCACATTTGTGTTACTAGATGTACTGATTATTTACGCAATTAAGCAACATGTACTAAGGACAGGAAGTTAACAGGTGTAATAAGGGGCTGTAGCATTCTCAAATTTGATATAGTTACGACTAAATTCTTTAATGTATGAGATTGAATGACCGTAGTTTTGAGTCAATTAAATCCTAAGACTTGTCGTTCCATTTATTTAGCCAAAATGTTCAACTAGTTAGTAAATAGTTCAGGTCTATACACGATTTTCTGTCAAAAATCTCTAATATTAGGGAAAAAGGAAACGTTTCTTACTTTTTTAGTTGTGCTAAGGCTTGGGTTTCTGGTCATACTTAGAAAAGGTATCAGAATATGCCTGAACTTTAATGCATATTTAACTAATGATTTTATATCTATCAAATTTTTAATGTAATAACAATTTAAACCTCTTGTTTATTTTTCCTTCTCCTCTTTACTTACGAAATGATAAATACTCACTCTGGGTCAAAATTAAAATTTTGGATTCTTTAAAATTTTTCCAGCCAAAACTATGGACCGAATTGTATATATTATGTTGAAATCACTTAACTCAATCACACAAATGGCTGTTGAGTTTTTTTTTGTTCTATCATCAACCTAAAATTATATTTATCAAAAGGCTTATCAACATCATGAATCTTTACAGCACTTTTATATATGTACTTTTCATAGCATATTCCGACATTAGGTAGCCTAATTTAATTTTTTCATTTACGCCTGTATAACGCTTCTTTCAGGTATAAGTTTTACAAGTAATCT